GGTCCTCTTTCCTCCCCTTTTTGAAGATGGGAACCACGCTGGCCCTCTTCCAGTCCTCTGGCACCTCTCCAGAGCACCACGAGTATTCATAAAGCCACGCCAGGGGACTTGCAATGACCCCAGCCAGTTCCTTTAGGACTCTAGGGTGAAGATCATCCGGGCCGACTGACTTAAAGACGTCCAGCCCCTGCAGAAGCTCCCTAACTAAATCCTCACTCACTCTAGGCCCAGGTGAGCCTTCCCCGGGGCCCGAAGGGTAAAACATGTTATCATGTTTCTCACTCCAAATTTTTTAAAAGTAAAATATACTTTTCTTTTTTCTAATAAAATACATAAAAACAATAATGAATATAACTTGAAATTATCAGTTAAATTGTTACAAAAATGTTGTTGAATTCTGACACAATTTTGTTTTGATATAGCCAAGATCATGATCTAGCGCTGGGATGGGGATTTAGTGTGGGGGATGGGGAGTCAACCCAGCTGGACTGACTTCCCATCTCCAGCCTACGGTCGAAAGGTTTTGACTAGCCTTGTTTTGTTTCGAGGCTATTTTGACAGCCTTTCTTTCCGATTTTGCTGTTTTGACCTCGAAATTGATCGAAACAATGTCAAAACGAAATGGATGGAGAAATTTCGCACAGCCCTACTGTTCAATGCTCCGTCATGGGTTGAGGCTAGCGTAGAACATGTTCCACAATTACCAGTCTATAACCAGCCCACTTCCTCTGCTTTGTCCAAGGGACACCGAGAGAAAATAAAAATCTGGACTGTTGTTTCAAACTGTTTTTGAACGCTGATTTTAATCAAATTACCCCAGGTATTACATGCTGTACTATAACATTTTTTTTAATTGTTCTTCTGGCTGATATATAGTGGCAGTTGGCAGGCCTCAGAAAAATACAGAAAGTGGTTATTGGTGGCCTGATTTTCTGTGAGAAAGCATCTCCCATATCTCATAGATTCAGAAGAATTGGCCTGGAAAGGACCTATAGAGGTCATCTCACCCATCCCCCTGCTCATGAGAAGAATCATCTCTGGCGAGACCATCCCAGACAAATATTTGTCTCAACTGCACTTAAAAACTGCCAGTGCCAGATATTCCACAACCAGTTTAGGTAACCTGTTGTAGTGCTTAATCATAGGGGGGGGAAGTTGTTTTTAATACCTAGCTTCAATCTCCCTTGTTGTGATTTAAGTCCCATACTTCTTGTGAAGACCTCGTGAAGACAGAGAACAATTGTATCACTGTTTTGATTATAACAAGCCTTTTTGTATTTGAAAACTATTATAAATCCCCTCCCTGCCCGCAGGCCCTTTAATCTCCTCTTCGCTAGATTGAATCAAACCAATTATTTCAACCTGGCTTCATGTGTCCGGCTGTCTAAATTTCTAATAGTTCGTGCTGCACTCCTTTGGACCCTTCCCAGTGCGTCCATGTCTCACCTAGGCCCAGCTCTCCAGCCAGGGGCACTCCAGGACTGAACACCGCTCCGGGCCGGGCGGGGGCGGGGCAGCGGCCGAGTCCTCCAGCGCCAGGGGGCGCCCGAGCGCTGCACCCTCCCCTGTCCCTCCCCGCAGCGGCCGGGCCGGGCCGGGCCCGCAGCAGCACGGTTTCCTGCTCGCTCGGCCGGCAACTGCCAGTCACCAGCAGCGGCCGCGGCGGGAACGCAGGTAAGACGGCGCGGCACCACCCCTGCGGCACCCGCCGTGGGCCCCGCTTACCTGGGGCTGCCCCCGCCCGCTTCGCGGTCCCCGCAAAGTCTCCTGCCTGCTTCGGGTCCTGCCGCTCCCGTCAGGCCG